TGAATGGTCCCTCCAAGCTCACGCCAAAGGTGACGCTGAACTTGGGCAGCTGCACCTCCACCTTGTGCTGGCTCATGGCCCCGATCTCGGCCAGAAGATTCTTGCCGGACAGCGACTGCTGCAGGGATCTCAAACCATCCTTGCGATTGGGCAGCAGCAGCAGCATGGAGAAGTCGGCGTTCTGGTAGGGCAGCTCCACGACCTTGGCGTCCAGGGAGTTGACCTCAGCGTAGTTGAAGTTCTGCAGGGTCCACATGGTGTCCACCTTGACGGACTGGCCGCTTCCGGTGCGGAAGGATCGCTTCTCGGTCTTGTCCAGCCGGAAGGACTTCTGCCAGGTGCCGGAATACGTGACTCCGTTCACAATCACTCCCTCGGTGCGATCGTTGAGCAGTTCGGAGCGGAGAATGTCCGTGATCTTGCCATTGGTCTTGGTGGCCACCTCCCGGTTGATGCCGTCCGCAGTGCGCTTGTTGTACGGCGGATGGAAGTCCAGCTTGTCGATGTTCGAGTCGAACTGCCGCCGAGCCACGTCGCGGAAGGAGCCCTTGAACTCCAGGTTCTCGTTGATGTAGACGTTGTTGGCCAGGCGGAAGTTGTTGTCGCGGGTCAGGGACTGCTGGTAGCTGCCGCTCCGCTGGCTCACCGCATCCGCATCCCCGGGCCCGAGGCGCAGGCCCTGCTGCAGCTCCGAAGCCGTCTGACCCTTGGCCCCCACGAAGGCCAGCGCCATGGAGCTCTGGATGGTGGCCGGCGAGATGACCAGGTTCTCGTTCAGGTGATCGGCTCCCACGGCGTTGTACAGATCGGCGGCCAGCAAATTGCGATCGGCAGCGCCATCGTAGCCCAAGGTCTTTGACTGCGCCACTGACGCTAGGAGAACTGGAAGAATCGAGGCGAAACATGGCATTAGTCCCAATTTGATTGCAGGCTCCGCCCCAAGAGCTGAGTGCACACTGAGAAAAATGTTTATCAACATTATCATTTGACACTTTGGGCCGGTTTTTCAATGTCATGTTAGGGTTCTCGTTTGTCACCTTTCTGAGAAGGTTAAGATAAAGTCAATTTTTTCGGATTGCCAAATTCGTTTTCTCAATGTGATGCTAATTTTATGATCCACAAATATATACCGAGTCTGATATCATAAGATTCGTGGGAGATTCTAGAAATTTAACTAGAGAGCTACCTGTAATTAAAAGTTTTCAGTTAGATAAAACCTAACTTGATATTGAGAATCTTAAATTTTCCGAAAAGGTAATTTAACTCAATGACAAAAGTTAACAAGACATTGAGAAATCAGCTCAAAATTAAGCTACATTTCTGGCGCATTTCAAAAAAGATTAAAAAAACAAAACTCTTTTTTAACTACGTCTTTACTATTGGATCAAGTGTATCTCTTAAATTATTTGAAACCAAAAAAAATCTAATTTTCGGATAAGTTTTGTAAGCCATAACAGATACCATTGAGGGTATATTAATGTATGGTATATTTTTGTGTACTTAGCTGTATAAGAACTACACCCGATCGGCGACCAATTCGCTCAATTTTCTCGCTGTGCATAAACCAGATTGTTTTTAATTGGGGCTTACGTAATAGGCAGCTGATGATGACAGCCATGGTCGTCACATAAATTGTTGATGGGCGTCTCCTGCTCCGCTTGATTCGCACTTGAGACTTCTCCGAGCTCGTCGGAATGTGTACTGAAATCACGGCTACCGCTGAGGGGCTTTAGAGGCTATTCCAAGTCGGATTCAAACGCGAAACGTATGTAACTCTCGGGCCCCGAAAACAAAATACCGATCGTGTGTGTTTACAAATCATTTGTCACCTTTGGCTTGCCACGGGTGATTCTGTTTATTTGCCAGAGATTTGAGCTTGGCTGATAAGGCGATAACCTCAGTTAGAGCTAGCATTGGAATCGAATATTAGGTAAAAGCATGGGAGAGACTCAGATGTCGACGATGTGACCGGCCAGCAGCAGGGTTTTGTCATTGCCGATGGCGTAGAAGAACGGGTGATTGATGACCAGGGGCACGGCTCGTCGGAACAGATCCCCGAAGGCTGAAAGGCAAAAAAAAACAGCGGGTTAGAGGGCTTCCTGGCCACCGAGTGCCGTTCTCACTTACAAAACGAATCGCCGGCATCCCCGCCTTCCTCCTGCAGCTCCAGAAGACCGCTCTGCTCCACCGCTCCCAAAGGAGGAGCTGAACTGGTCAGCAAGGAACTGAAGACCTCGCTCAGCTGGACCTGCGATGTGAACAGTTTTGCCAGTCCCAACTGCAAGAGAAAATACATTGGGGCCTTGAGTTTCGCATCCAAACATTGGTCGATTTTTTATCACCGACATTATTGGGTGATCAGGGGTCAAGTATCTCATTATCCCCATTAATTGTTTTTAATGGCCTTTCTAAGCAATTATACTTTGTTGTATCCTTGAAAGTGGTACATATAGTAAGGTACCATTTTCTAGTCAACAAAATCCGAATTTTTTATGACTTACACTTTTGTTCTTATGTTTGCAAGGTCGTGTATTATGAGATAGGGTCCTACGGACTCAAGATCTTAGACTTGGAATTAACATTTTAAAAAATTCAAAACAATATACATTTAAAGTACTATTACCTAAGACACATAGGATTCCCAGCTGATCTCTGGTTATAAATGCATACTTGTTAGCTCACCTCTTCGAGTGTTGGTTTCAGTGCAGAGTGGACCAGAACTCTTAACTTGGGTAGGGTGAGGGCCACCTTGCGCTCCTGTAGCTCTCCCCTTAGCTGCTGGAGATCGGACTGTGCCAGCTTCCTCTCCAGATGGGCTAGGCCATCCGCCCGATTTGGAAACACAATGAGCATTTTCAGACCCGCGGTGGCGAAGGGCACCTCTATGAGTTGGGCATCCAGGGCGGGCATCTCGGCATATCTGTAGCGGTGCTGGCCAAACATGGCATCCACCAACCTGGGACGATTTCCTCCGGAGAAGAAGTTGATGCTCGTCGTCTCAGCGGGGTCGAAGGCCTGTGCCCAAGGAGCTCGGAAGGTTAGGCCCGAGACGTGTAGAAAAGGCGTGTTGTGCTCGGCCAAGGACTCCAGTTGCGTGGAGCTAACAAGTTCCCCCAGGCTGTAGTTGCTGCGGCTCAGAAAGGAGTAGTTGATGTCCTGAGCGGCATTCGATGCACTTTCCCAGGCCAAACGGTGGCAACCAACTCCCATCCGAGATGCCAGTACCTCGAATTCATCGAGAAAGTTGAAGGTGAATCGCTGCTGGGCGTAAAAGTTGCTGAGCAATCTCAAGCGACAGCCAACAGCTGCCGATTGTTTCAGATCCGTTAAAAGACTCTGGATGTCCTGAACCGCTTCCTTGGGGCTACTTGCATGGGTTAGCTCTAAGGCCTGGCGGAGCTCCCTTCCGGAATCCGGGGTACTTCCCGCATAGAGTAGACTTAGTGCCGCCTGTACCAGCAAGGGGGAAACCACCACATTTGCATCTGGCTGGCTCAATCCCAGTTTAGTGGTTAGACGTAGGCCAAAGCGATGGTTCGACTGGACTGCCGACTTGGTCGGGAGCTCTCCACCGACTGGAAACGGTAAAGCTATAGCCAGCCCCACAAACAGGGCACAGAGTAGTCGCCAGTGGATCATGTTTGGGAATTGCCAAGCTTCGACTAATGTTAATGATCCAATGGCTTACACACAACTAAGCTCATTCATAAAAATTCAAATTATATTGAGACATTGATTGGAGAGCTCCAAAGTCGTAGCTCGGCCCTGAAGGTCTTTGGTGATACGAAGCTGTCTGGGAGGCGGAGGGTTCCAAAATTCTCAGAGAGATTCGTCGAGAGGGAGAGCGGGAGGTTCTATCCAGTTTCTTATCGCGCTCAGACAATTTTCAAGTTCGAGTACTATCTCGCTCTCAATTCGTCATTGCAACACAAACACAGCAAAAAGTTTGTTTTGCTTTATTAACATTTCAATCTATTGTTTCCGAAGCATTTATATGCTTGAATTTATTACACAATTAACAATTTATTGCTATAAAAATCGTATATATTTTAATGAATTCTGTATAAAAACCTATTTCCAAGTAAAACTAGACTTATCTTTCTAAAAAATAGGAACATTTTTGAATTTTGACCGAATGACCTATTTTAAGAAAGATTAAATAGTAATAAAAACAATACTTAAGTAAGTAAATTTACATGATATTAACAAAGGTATAAGCATGTTTTACATTAAATATGAAATCTTTAAGAACAATTTTTTAATAATATTTTTTGATTTTTTGATACAGTTTTATAATAAGTTGGGGAGTATTTTACATTATGATTCTCTAAAAATTTTATGATTTTGTTAAAAGGAGTATTCCCAAATATCATTATTATACAAATTAGACAGCTATGAACCAAATCTTAAAAAGTTCTACTAAAAAATGATTATGTTGAAATATATTTTATAAGATTTCAGTTAAAACCACTTAATAACATTTTGAATACCTAAGATGTTGATTTTTTTTTTCATTAACCATCTATCTGGCCCTACATACATTCCATTACATTTTAGCTGAGTGTATTCAACCTTGGGTGAACGCTATTAATTATGCCCAGCTTTCAGCGGGTATTTCAATTACTCATCTCGGGTCTCGGTCTTACAATTCTCCGCCCCGTTCCGCCCCCGCAATGGTTTTCCCTGCATCGCATCCTCGAGTCAGATCTAGTGCGCATGAGGAAGTTTTGCTCATTTTGAAAAATGATTGAGAAATCCGCCTTTGATTTACGGCCGTGGGCGCGGGGACGACAGGAGGTTGGGGTCCCAAACGGGTTTGCCAACTTACAGAAGCGGGCAAACCCATTCGCTGGAAATCCAGAATAGCCAGCAGCCTCGGCAAGCAACTGGGAAAAGGCACAAGCTGTTCTCTCGCTCCGGATGGGAATTGGAATCGGAATAGGAATCGGTGATGTGATGGAGGTCGCATGGGTCTTATCAGTGCATCGAGGTTATCGGAGTTCAGATTTCCATAAATACAGCGTTTTACTTTATTGTTACTTTTTTCTACACAAATGCAGCGGCCCAAGGCCCTCTAGTTCCTGTTGTAGCCATCGGCCTTTGGTTCATTTCTTGCGGTCATCGGCGTGGGATTCTCCACGTGACCCATGAAGAGCACTGAGTTGGGGGCGCGGATGGCGAAGACGAAGGGCCGGTTGGCGATGAACTCCTTGGGCTTCGGGGGCAGGGACAGTGGCACAAACTTGGCATCTGCGAGTAGGAAACATAAGATATTAGTTCTAGGTTCTGAGGTCTTAAAATGAGTTAGGGATCTTACAGGAAGCTGCCGAGGCCTCGGTTCCCGCCTCGCCCACATCGATGTAGGCCTTCTGCAGGATCTTGCTCACGCGCACCGGCTGGTTCAGCAACTTGGTGACCTGCGAGCTGGGCGTGAACATCTGGTGGATGCCCAGCTGCTTCAGGGGCTCGGTCATGTCCTGCTCGAACTCGATCTGGAACTTGGGCAGGCGCACATGGACCGACTGGCGGCGCAGGTTGTGGGCGATGCGGTTGAGATCGAACTCGGGGCGGGACAGGCGCTGCTCGAGATTGGCCAGCCCGTTGGGCTGGTTGGGCAGCAGGATCAGCATGCTGGTGGCACTGTCCTTATAGGCCAGCTCCAGGGCAGTGGCGTCAAGCGCGGGCAGATCGGCCAGGCCGTACACATCGTCGTTGTACATCATGGCCACCGGGGTGATCCTGCCGTCGGAGTGGTGGAAGTCGTAGGGCTGCGTGTCCATGATGGCGAACTCGTGCTCCCAGCGACCCTTGAAGTACACGGCGTTCACCAGGATGGCCTGTGTCTGGGGATCAACGTCGTTGGGTCCAACCAACTCCCTGATCTTGTTCCTTGTGCTATCCGACACCCAGGCGTTGATCCTGGCCGCTGTGTCCTTGCCGTTTTGCACGTCCACGGGCTCCGTGGCGGCATTGAAATAGAACTGGGCATAGTTGTCATAGCTCTTGTTGACTTCACCAAGCTCCTGATTGTAGTAGGTCTTGGTGGCCACGGTCAGATCGGCTCCCTGGATCTGCTCCTTGAGCTTGATCACCCTGGCAAAGTCCTGGGCCACGTCCTGGGCCCCCTTGTTGAACTCGGCGGCCTGCTGCAACTCGCGGGAGGTCTTGCCGGCCGAGGCGCCATAGATCAGGGCCAGCAGGGAGTGCACGGAGAAGGGCGAAAAGACCACGTTCCGCTGACCCTGGGACCTCACGATCTTCTGGAAGAGCTTGCCGCTGAAGCGGTCCATATAGCTGAAAGCGGGCGGCGGGCGATTGGGTGGCGGCGGGGTGGTCGGCTCACGTTTGTTCATGACCACCTCCTCGACATAGTCTAGGGGTTGTGCTTCTTGGTTGTTTGGCGGGTTGTTTTGCGGGCTGTTTTGTGGGTTGTTTTGTGGGTTGTTTGGTAGCTTGTTCTGCCACCCACTGTTCGATAGCGAACGGGGGCCCAGCTCCGGGCGTTGGTCAAAGCTAAGAGCCCGTTGTGGCTCATGGTGCCAGGAATTGTAGGTCTGTGCCAAGGTCTGAGAGGCCAAAAGATAGCCCGTTAACAGGAGGATAGCCCCTGGAAAAATACAAAAAAGAATGTCGTGATGAAATGCAATTCTTCGTAGCGGGCGTGTGCAATTCTCCCACAACTCACTGGCTTTGCTCGCCATATTTCTTATCTGCTATTCCTTGCTGATCAGTTATTCAAATGAATTTATTCTTCCGATCCGTCGATCAGCTCGTTTTCAGCTGCGCTTCAAAACTGATTGTTGCGAAACCGATCACCAGCAGCTACGGAGCAGAGTCGCGATTTAAGGCTGTAAGAAGAGAGAACCGGTCCAGAACCCGACTCAACTATGCTACGGAGAAGCGGGCGATAATCGAATCGCCTCTCTTTTTTCAGATGGGAAAAGCCCGGTCGTTTCCAATTACACAAAGAAAAACACACAATATGATATAGGTAGTATATAGTAGCAGAGGGGGTGCTGCGCTTTTCCCTACTTCTAGCATCTTAACCCTCGGATTCGCGTGGGCTGCCGTTCTAGCTGCAATTTCATTGCTGCGACTCTGACTCACCTCGGCGTTTGGGATTCGGTGAGGGAAACCTGTTTAGTTTTCCGTTTATTTATAGATGCACTATCTCGGACTCTACATCTACTCATAACTCCTGCATTTCCTGCTGACATTTCCATGCTTCCTGGCCGACTATTAGATAACTTTTCCATTTCAAATACCCGACGGTCGACCCATAAATATGACCGCGAGAACCAACTAATTAAGTATTCCTCAGCGGCGGCGGTACAGAATACCCAGATAAGACCCCACAGCTTCGTTTTCTCTGCATGCCTAATTATGTAAACCGAAATGCACACGAAATGCTTTTCATATCAGCACTTTTCCCCCGGCCCCCATTCCTCTTCCCCAATCTGGTTTACGGTGACCCAATTGCAGGCCGCCGAATGTGTAAACATAATTTACTCCAATTAGAGTGCGATGCCACGCCCCTCCTCCCGCTCGTCCGCCCCTCGGAAATTGGGCCACAGGCGGAGTGCATCGCTGATATGAATACGACGGTGGGTACGACTACGAGTACCAGGCAAGAATGCAATCGATAAGTGGAGTGGAACCCCCGGGTGCGCAGGGGGAGTACTGCTTGGGGAGCAGTCTAGTTAATTGCACTGCACCAGGTGGGTTCGGCTCAGTACGACCCATTCCGCTTCCATTCAACTCTCGCGTGTGTTTGCTCTCACTGATATGACGTCTGGTGTTTTGCCCGATCAAACAAAGGCTGGCCTCAGACTTATCGCAGGGGTTACGAAGGTGTTTCCACTCTCCACTCTCCACTCCGATTCGATCTAGCCGTATGAATGGCAGTAGTTTCTGTTCGGGGAACTTCCACAGATTGGTTGAAGAACCACTTTTAATTATCAGCGCAGGGGTTTCTACTAGATTAACAAAAAAAAAAGAAATGAAAGAGTAAAAAATCCTCATGAATAAGCTTCATTAAGCAATAATTACGAATGCAACTCGATTTTAAGCGTGAGAAGGGTTTAACTAAAAGTATTAAATTATTTATAGACTTAAACGGGCTTAGGTCGGTTAGATAGGAAATGAAACATTTTACTGAATCTATATTTAAATTTATAAAATTTTAAACACTCTTGATCACATTTCATCCAAACAACCCTGAATAAATCTTCAAGCCTGCTTGCGTAAATATACATCTTAAACTAATTTAAACATGCAATACACGAGATGCTATTAAGCTCGCTTCATTTTTTCTTGGGTGATACACCTGATTTAAATAAACAACAAAACCCATTAAGTGCTAATAACTTAATAATGTCAATATACATACGTAATGCATGTACATATTTATGTCATAATTTATCACAATTACTTGATAATTTGTGCATAATCTTTATACAGTTCTTGGATCACATTAAACAAATATATTATTATTTATAAAAGAAGTAATTCAAAAAGCCTTGACACATTTTGGGACTCAGATCGAAGTAATGTGATAATAGTTCTATATCGAATTGAGAAAACGCTATAGTCGATGGTCTCAATATTAGATACCCGTTACTCAGCTAAGGGGAGTGCGAGGGAGATGGAGATTAGCATGCAGGAAATCGTCTGTTTTCGAGATTGTGCAGCTTTATTTGCTTATAAATTTTTAATGAATGGTCTGACATGAGCAATTTTTGGCGTATAGAAGGTTTATACTTTCACAAAATGTTAAAAAACGTTACCTGCTACTTATTTTCCGAGGAATCTAATATACTCCTTTACTCTTAGAGTAACTGATATACAAATTGCAAAACATTGAAAGATATTCTTTTCGTTTTACATACTTTTTGGGCCACAAAGGTTGGGTCTCAATACCCAGCTGTTTGTTGCATACAACTTTTAAAGCCTTTGTCAAGAAAGTTTATTTTTGAGATATATAACTCGTCTAGTAAATGACCGCTATAACACCGCTTGTTTTGCACAAGAAGGCAATCTAACTTTCCATGTGATCCTCATTTCCGAAACTATTCTACCCAATTTGCTTCAATTACTTGGCCAATTACCCAGACACCCCCGCACCCCAGGCCGCAGCTGGCGACAGAAACCGCATGGAAATATTGCAAGTTGTCACCGGAGTGTTGCCTCAATTAGCGGCAACATGTTGCTGGTGCGCGACCACAAGAGCAACTCGCAGCTGACTTTGGTTACAATCCATTAATTTGCGTGTTGACGGAGAGTCAGTTGGCCATTAACTGGGGGTTAGATGGGATGGGGTGATAGGCGATGAAGTGCAGCGGAGGTGGCAAATGAGGAGCGATTGCTGTCCGTTGGCGGCTCTTACAGCAGAATCGCATTAAATTACACGTTGGCCGCACGATTTGTCCGATTTGCATATAATTATGGCGAATAAATCATAAAGCCGCGGCTTTGGCCATCGCAATATTTGCACATGCAATTTTGCTCTGAGTATCTGTATCTGTGGCAGCATGTTGCTAACGAGCTGAGCGAATAGCTCGGGTAGGATTCCCCGCATCCGGAGCAGCATCAATTAAAGCGACATAGAGGAAACTTATAATTTTCATGCGGCCTAATCATAGTCGGCATTCTTCTGGCATTGCCTTTCCCTTCCTTTTTCATACATTTAGCAGCGTTTATAGAAATTGCCAGCCCACCAACTCCCCCTTTACTTCTTTGTAGCTTTGATCTCACTGAGAGGAATTCTGCAACCTAATGAAGTCAGTAATAAAGTATTATTTGTCATAGAAACATGACATTATTTGTGTATCTTTGATTTTTTTAGACAAGAAGAACCCTGCAATCCTCGCATTAATTTTCCGATCGATTCTATAGCAGCAATATGATATAGTCGTCTGATTTGTAGTCCTAAGTTTTTCAAATTTAATTTAAAAAAAAAAAGAATTCATAAACCACTTTAAATTTTGTCTATTTATAGACTCGATGCATCAAATTTTCATATTAAATCCCTTTGTTTTGACTACATAGGTACTTAATATATTTAGAACTATCATATTTTTGCTTTCTCTGTACTCCTGAAGAATGGACCGCATCCGTGGTTGAAGTTTCGGGGGCGGGGTAATCGCTGTTTAAATTTGTACTTCGTGATGCAATCATTCTGAATGTCAGAGAGACCCGAGAGACCAGGACGGTTCCCCTGCGCCTCCACTCGCCTTTCGTATGTTAGGCGCCATAATGGGTTAACACACACACACACACACACACACACAGCGGAACTGGCCAACACACACAAAGCCACCCACACTTTTGCAGGGAGTTGAGGTCAGCAGCCAGCAGTTGTTTTTGGCCATTGTTCGAACTCCTTTTTTGGGTTGGGCCTGCACTCTGCGTGTTCTCTATTGATCTAAATTTGCTGCTTGGAAATTTGTGGCTCCTTTCGACGGATTTTTTGGCCGCTTATCGCCGGCATTCCGCTGGCAGTGGAACTGGCATTTGCATTCGGCCAATTCCTTCGATTCTGCCCATTCCCCCGGCCAATTGCAGTAATTTCCTTATATATTTTAGCCAGGCTAATGAGCCGAAATCTTTGGCTTTGCCATCTTGGCTGGCGGGCCTCGGTCCGCCGTTAAAATTGTAATCAGTTAACGCTTAATTGGGGTCGCACCACGCCCCTTCTTGGCCATGCAATGGGAATACAATGGGGAATGGGTAATGGGTAGTGGGGAATGGGATTGGGGAATCAGAAACACAGATCAGCCGGAAGAACCGCTAAGCTAACTGCTAACTTCTAACCACTATGGCATTTTGTTTTATTCGATGTTTTTACTACTTGACTTGCCAATACATCAAAAGAAGCGGGGGAAAATCGCAGAAACGGGCCGGGGGAAACGAGCGGAACCCTTTCATTAGAGGAAAAACTAAAGCGAGCATCGCCAACGAGAAAATAATGATGAATTGCGGTATTATCGCACGGTAATACGCCGTGAAGGAGGCCCAGAACCACATAGGAAACGGGAAACTGGAGCACTTGCTCACGAACAGGGCCAGGGCAAGAAAGTCGGAAAGTCAGGGAGTCGAGGAGTCAGAGAGCAGGGGAATCAGGGAATCGGACCGAACCTGGCCCAGACCCAAGACAAATATGTAATTGGCCGGGCCGCCAGACACGAAGGTGCGCTGGTATCACGTACTCCTCGGCTTCACAGAGTCAAGCTCAAAATGCATCGACACGATGATTTATTTGCATTGCAAAAGACAAGAACATCACACTGCGAAAAAAGTGGTGATTAATTTTAAAAAATAATGATTTTATGCACCCTAAATACATTCTCTACTGTGAGATCTTTGTTGTGGTTCCAAACTTAAGATCAACCCTATTGCATTATAAGTTATTTTGTTTGATTTACACCATAAAAACGTAATGGTTTTTATGGTCAATTGTTTTTAATCCGTATGATTTATTGTAACTTTCACAATCAAGTAGGTATACTGAGTAAAATTTTTGTAATTAACCTATTCAATATTCAGTTTCGAATATGATGATATGAATATGACGAACATATACTTATGCACCAAACACTGAAATACTTATGATTGAGGAATAGGCAAGTCGGCCTTATAGGGTCTTTAACAAGAGTTTATGTTTAAGATGCCCTTATTATTATTCCATTTAATTAGCTGCAAATGTAAACTCCCTTCTCAATATCTACCGATATTCATATTTTTTTGGAAGCTGCAACTAGTTCTTAAACGGAATTAAGTTAAAAGAGTTTTTTATTGTTGCAAAAGCAATCAGGAAA